CGTACTTGTTTTGTTTTTGTGCTTTGAGTACACATTGTAGGTCATTTATGGCTTTATAACAATGTAATGATTCATGAACCTTCCAAACGTTGACTCATTTCAGTGCACAATATTTAATACCAAAATAACTTAAAGGATCAGAATTATACCAGGAAAGGCTTGCAGTACTAGAAAACTATCAAGCACATGGTGGTAGATAGGGATTTTCTAAATTCTAGATTATTTTTACTTTAAAAACTCAATTTTTGAAAAAAAAAAACTTCTGATTATTTACCTTGAAGTAACAAGGTCATGTCATTCACTGCTTTCAATTTTTCTTTTTAAATAGTCTTGTAAATATCCTATAAATGTTCGTGTCTGAGTCAACCTAGTCTGTCATGTGAAAATAGCTCGTTTTAGCTCACAACTATACATATTTTGGCGTGTGGCAGAAAAGCTTGAGGTGCATTTCCACTTTTGAAACAAAAAGACAAAGTTAGGAATTTCAGTTTAATAAAATGAATAATTTTACTTCATCAAAAGACCGTCTTAAGTGAACCTGACATTTATCTCGGGGAGAATACAAGAATTACTAAGACAGTTTAGGGACACCACCTTGATCGTGCTATGGTGACACCTCTTGTATATTATTAGGCTAGTAAGTGTCAGAATCACTTTGAAAACCACTTTGACCTTGCAGCTCTCCCTTGAAACAAACTCAGGAAACCCTAGGTGTTCGTGGATCACTCTTAGAGGAGTATTGCCGTAAGACAGATGCGAACCAGGCATTCTCTTACACAAAATTAAATTATACTCATAATTCTATAATTGTTTTTGATTTTCGTCCAATTGACTGAATATTTAGGAATTGCAAATTTTAAAAGTGATATGAAAAGGAAATGTCAACTAAACCTTAAAAACCTTACACTAGCCAATCCTCCTTAATGTGTTCCATTTTTATACTCATAAAAAAGATACTGAGGCTTAGAAATATTTTCTACTTTGGAAAATAAGTGTCAGCGTTTAGAATTAAATACAAACCTGGCTAAATAGTACATCGGATACATTGCCCAAGTCCCTCAAAATGCTTTGAAGATGCTAAACTTACAAATATAAACATGAGAACACTTCAAAAATCCATGGAAAATAAAATTCATAGATAAGTTTATTTTGGTAGAAGATATACAAGAAAGAAAAGCTACGACCTTTCTGAAAACCCCTTGTATCCATGAATGTCAGAATATCTTTTTACCAAAATGTGCTTATTTTAAATTCTGTCTTTCATGAATTTTTGAAATGTATACACACACACACACACACACAATGCTGTTGGTATTACCAGCAGCCTGCTTTTTTTTGAGAAGATAGGACATATTTAGATGTGTAATTCAAAATGCTCAAATGTTTTTTAGGAATTTTCGTTAAGTGTCTTCACATACCTCCTATAGAATTTCTCCCATAGCTTCAGATTTACCATTAATTGGTTGAATTAATTGACAAGTCACTTTAATGTATATAGCACTCAGTTTCTTCCTGGTGGGAACTTAATTTCTTTTATTTTCTTTTCTTGACAGCAGAATTCATGTTTTGTGTATTTATATATCTATGTATACATGCAGGCAGACACAGAAGAGTGTCCCAGACACAGAAAGACCAGGAGACCTCCCATCACACTGACTCACTCCCCAGGTGCCTGTAAGGCCAAAACTATGAACAAGGAATCCAATCCAGGCCTCTCTTGTGGGTGGCAGGGCCTCAGCCACAGAAGCCCCCTGCCCTCTCCCAGGGTGTGCACTGGCAGGAAACTGGAATCAAGCCAAGAGAGGACTCAGCTTAGCCATTCACTCCAGTGTGAAATTCAGGCATTCAATCAGCACCCTAAGCACTAGAAGAAATGCCTGCTCCCTGGAGTGGTAACTTTAATCTCCAAGTCACAGGTCCCTTGAATTCCCTGTAAACACTGTGAGATTCATAAAGGAGGTACTACAGTCCTCCTGGTATCCAGGGAACTGATGTAACAGCTTTCTCAGCTCTGTCTTCAGCCTCTTCCCACTCCTAATTTCGCCTCTGAATCAAGCAGTCCGAACCAGGGATCTCACTTCAGAAAAAGCAACAACTATAACTCTCAACAACAATAAAACATTTCTTTTTCCGTAACTTTCCTTCTCTACATAACCAAAGCGCTATGGAAATGAGTTCTGATCTCACAGGTCCACCCAGTCACTATACAGATCCTTCATGCACACACAACACAAAAGCATCACTAGCATTGAGATCATAGTGGTGCTGGTGCGCATCCCATTCCAATCTGGCCTACCAAATCCTTTTCTCACTTTTGCTCCAGCCATGCTGCTCCATCCCTGTTCTCTCCTGTCCACTCTGCTGCCCATCTCTTTCCTTTCCGGGTTGCTCTTTCTCTGCTCTTGGTCAGAACATCAGTGCTCTTGACATGTCTCCTAAGTCCTTTCTTCCCCCTCTCACTGTCTGGGTGGAACATCGATGGCTTCTGACATCTCCTCCCCACTTGCCTCTTCTCTCCCAGGAAGTCTCTGGCAGGCTGCCTGTGCAGCTCTGCACCCAGGTCTCAGGGACATCTCTGCCTGAAGACGTTTCAAACAGAACTCTTTCCATTCTTCCCCAAGCTGCTGCTCTCAGCATGTTGTTTCTCCTGGCCTAGACGCCTCCCCTCCATTCCCCTTCATATCCAGTCAGTTACCGTAAAAGCTCTAGAGATGTCCCACCCTCACAAGTGGCATTTCTGCTGCCAATTTTTCTTCGGGAAACTACATCCTCACTGTTCTCTCCTATTTGTTTTTCATGGTGGTGCCAGAGGCAATTCTACAGCACGTATCTGGTGACCCTTAAAACCCTCCTCCTTTTCTACCCTTGCTGAAAAACGTTACTTTCCCAAGCACCCACTACCTTCAAGGAAGTTCTTGCTCTCTGGGCCCTAAGGGCTGGTGGAGGCCCAGCCTTCATTGTAACCCAGCCACACTGTTCCCAGGAAAAGAGTGTACTTCCACATCTCCCTAACCCCCTCAGGGCTCTGTTTGTAGAAGGCCCATCCCCAGGCTCTCCCATCGTTGTTTACTTATTGCTTAGCATTCTCTTCCTTGTCTTCTAGAGCCCTGCACTGCAATCTCTGCCCCAAACACCTTCTAAAGCAGCATGAGCTGTGTTTTCTTCCTTATTCCCACGGGCCAGGTACAACTATTATAGTGCTCATAGCAGTTTCATTTGGGCCTTCTGTGTGCCAGGGGGCTGTGAGCTCCTAACTTCATGTCTTCCACTAAGATCTCAGTATGTAAGACACAGCTAGTGCACAGTAAGAAAATAGGGACTGCTTGCTAATGAATATTCCAGCAACCTGCCCTGCCTCCTATCTCTTAAGTCACTCCTCCAGTTCTTCTGAGCTGACATCTTGCGTTTCCTTTTTCACACCTCATCCGTCATCTGAAAAAAAAAATCACACACAAAGGGGGGAGGGGAGAAAAGCTTCCACAGTGACCTCAGAGGTCCCCTTTTTTTTCTGTCTAAAACTCCAACAGCTTTTGCAAAACTATTTGATGGCTTATAGAGGGTTTCTTGAATTCACCTACCACTATATTCTCATGTGGGAGCCACAAAACTTCAGGTGGTGCATAGGGCTACCCTCTGTGATCAGATATATAGCAAAACATTACCAGTACTACTACTAATAATAAATAGTTATCGAATTGATCTTGATAAGGTGAGTGTCCTTCTTATTTATCGTCATTTTTCAGAACTGACATCATGCCTTAGCACACACCATACAGTATATTCTTAGAATTTCAAACTCTAAACATCAGTCTTAAAAAGCTGCCTTGCTGAAAACTAGGTTGACAGTTGTGAAAATGAGATCATTATATCAGCCGCTACTTTTTTTTTTCTTTGCCCAGGCCAGGTTGCTAATTAGGTAACTTCTTATCATAATTACCTAGTCAGCCTTAAAGGCTTCGAACACGCCTTTCCTTCTCACTGGGTCCCGTAGGGTCTCTTTTCAATTGTTCAAACAGCTGCAGAGTTTCTGACTAGGAAAGGCTGGGTCCGAGAGCCGCTGGGGAAGGCTCCGGGATCGAGAGCTATGGTGGGCTGGCGTTCCGGTGCAAGTGGATCAAGAGTGCACAATTTGCACACTCTGCCTCCTCAGCCAACCTTCCTCCTGGATTTCACACCGGCTCCCCCTCCCATTCCGCCCTCAAGGCAACCGCAGAGTTCCCCTCTATTGTATGCATGCTTCTCCCAGACGGTGCGACGGTCCAGAGCTCCGGTCTTGGACTGGGGGTCGCTTGTAGTTTGGCCAAGGTCTCAGTGGGCCTCGCGGTCCTTGTCCCCGAGTGGTGGGAGGTAAGAACTGGGGCATGCAGCCCGTGATGCTGGGTCCTTGGGCTGGACGCGCTTGTCTGTGAGAGAGATGGTGGTTTATGTGTATATGCGTGTGTGTGTGTGTGTGTGTGTGTGTGTGCCCGCGCGCGCGCGCGCGCTTGCTGGCGCGCATCAGGAGGGAGGAAAGGAGGGGACAGAGTGGGAGGCAGCGGGCAGAGCTGGGAGGGAGGGGCGGGCAGGCAGCGGAGGGGTGGGAGGCGGAGAGGCTCCCTGCTTCAGCAGTGACACTCCAGAGCGAAAACACACTACCCGCTCTGAGCCGCGACTGAGCGGAGCGGACAGAGCCGCGCGCCGCAGTCGCCGCCGCCTTGTCGCCCCGTGCGCTCAGCTCGCCCGGCGCCTTGCTTCCAGCCCCGAGCCGGTACCTCGAGCCTCAGCGCGCGGAGCCCGCGCCATCTCGGCCGGGCTCTGCAGCATCCTCACGCCACCTTCCCCTGCAGGCCCTGCGCCCTTTAAAAGGGATCTCCCGCAGCCTCGCAGCCCTGCCCGGGATACCCCCTCGGTCCCCCAGCCCCGCACTGCACCCTGCTGCAGTTCCCAGCAACTTCGGAGGCCCCGCGCGCCGGCCCAACACCAGCCTTTGAAATTTGCAGTGCAGACCGCAAAGTTGAGACACTCAGTCGACTGAATTTTTCTGTTATCTGCCACCGCCCCTCTCTAAGTCCCCTTGGTGCCTGAATACTGGTGCTCTGCATCTTGGCCGGAACGGGGAAAGTGGACTGTTTGGCACCCCATCCCACGGGGAGGAATTTTTCCGCTTCCCCTTAGGAAAAACTGAGTTTTCAAGGTAAGTGAAAATAGGAGCGCAAGCTTGCGGCTCCAATGTGCTGTGTCTCGCCACCCCGGGACCCGGCGAGCTGAGCGTTCGCGCCTGAGCGCTTGTCGCGGGTGGGAGATTGTGGCGCGCATTTCGTGACTGGACAGGACCTGGCTAGGTTCTGGAGGGCAACAGAGCCAGAAGAGCTGAAGCCAAGAGGGATGTTGGTCGGGTCTCCTCATGAGGATTTTAGATTGGTGTGGAGGCTGGGTGACCCCGAGCAGTATTAGGAGGTGGAGAGACTGCGCACAGGTCGTGAAGATGGACTACCACCATGGATCCCGCCGGGATCGCAGAGCTGCAGAACCTTGATCCTGGTGTTGGCTACTTACTTTTCCCTACTGCCGGGAGCGTGTTTATCTCCTCGAGCTTCATGCTTTCTGACCACCCTAGGGAAAGTGCACGACCAGGGACTTGGCGGGTTCTGCGCCTGGGGCGAGAACTGAGGATCCAGGCAGAGCCTGGAAGACGCGGGCAGAGCGCGGGCGCCCCTAACTGCGCAGTAGGCTACGGGATCTCCGGTGGTCCCCCTTGGCGGTCCGCGACCCCCCACCGCTTAGCAACTCAATTGTCCCCCTGCTGGGTAGGCGAGAGCCTTTGGAGAAATTAACCCAGGCTGATCAGAGGGCCTGAAACCCTCTCCAGAGTTTGTTGGGAGAGCTTAGCAACCGCGGAGGGAACAGCCGTCCCGCCCCCATCGGCTCGGGGACCTCGCAGAGTGTGCGCCACTGGGGTTCGCTCTATTCCGCGTCCTTTTCACTCTCGAGCTAAGGGTTGCGACCGATCCAGTGCTCAGGAATCAGGGCGAGTGGTCTCAAATCTAAGCTGTTCTCTAGGGGTCTTTGGCAAACAGTGGACTTTGGGGTGCCGTTTCGTTTCATTGTGAGCCGTTGGTTCCCACTTCTGCCTTCGGCCCCGCGCTCCAAAGCTGCGGGGATCGCGGGGACTGTGGGAGTTTGCCGAGCCCCGGTACGCGGGCGCGGAGCTGTCCCTACATCTTCCAGGCGGACCTTCTTAGAGGCGCTGTCCATCCTGTCTTCAGGGCGCGGGCGACTCCCTGACCTCGATGCCTTGAGCGGGAAATGAACCTGAGCTAAGTCTCCTTAAGCTTTTGTTTGTTAAGGAGTTCTTTCCCCCACAACTTGGTTTGGGTTGCTAAATATTTTATTTCTCGTTTTGCAGTCCCGCAAAGTCGCCAGGAAGAAGCTAGTCTTTTTCCTCGAATTGCCGACCTCCTCGAGCACTGCCCTTTCTCTCCTCCACCTCCACCACCCTCCCGCCGCCTCGCTTCCTGAACCCTTTTTCTTTTCCAACCGAGGGAATCTCCGCGCCTCCTCCCCCTCTCCTCCTCCCACCCGGTCCCTGCGCGCCCGTGAGAACCCCGGGAGTCATCAATGGAAATAAATAAGACTACTTTCCCTTCTCCTCCCCCTTCAAACAAGTAAAATCCTCTTGGGCTCGGGGAGGATGGAGTCCCCCTTCAGAGGGAGCGGCTGCGGAGGATTTGATGGGGTTGAATTGTTTTATTATCCTCAAAGAAGTGACGGGTGGAACCGACTAGGAATATGCGTGCGTGCGAGCCGTCTCCCAAGGGCGGTCTGTATTTATTATTATTCATCAGTGTTTATTAAGAGTGATAATAAGGCCGTAACCCGAGCTGAAGACTGTGTTTACTTGGATTTTTATGTCAGTGTCTTATTTCATTGGTTTCAGAAAGTGAAAACTCCATAACCGTATTAATTCCTCACGCTCATTCTGCAGATGGGATTAATCAGCCGTCAAAAAGATACTGTCATTTCACCAAAGTTCTAATCCACGAGTTTGCAGGAGGTTGCAGTTGTAGGAAATGCCATTTGCCTCAATCAGTCTTCCTAAAGTTAAAAAAGAAAAAAAAAAAAACTTGGCAACATAATTAATTATGGTCCCAATTCCCATTTTCAATCTAAATTTATATTCATGATTATATTAAAATATCCCATCGTTTACTCTTCAAAACTGACTCTTAGGAATGTGAAGTCCTGCTGTAGGGCCGGGGCGGGGAGAGAGGGCAAATGCTGAGCCTGAGAGGCCCAGAAGTTAGTGAAATCAGTACTACTTCAGAATGCTCTCAAAAACCATCTACTTTTTCCTCCAAATAAAGGCATTCCGAGTCTTTTCTCTACACCATCCTTAATTTAGCGCATGCCCTAATCTACCACACACTTGCCGACTCGTCTATTTTTTGTTTTCATTTTTGTGTCCGGATATTTTTTTCATTAAACCCTGTGTGTCAAAGACTCTGGCTCTGAGTGGTAGTAACACTTTGTTTTAATTAGTAACTATCATTTAAAAAAAGAAGAAAGAAGACGCAGCTAGAAGTCTGTAATAGGCCTAAATTGCTATGAATTACGTGTGGTTTAAATTACACATTTATTTCAGCAGAAATGAAACCATGAATATAAAGCATCTTTTAATCACTTGCAGACCAGCTTTTATCTCCTCAGATGTAACACAATATATAATTGAAAAATATCCTTTGGAGAATGAGGGAAGCCTCCGCCCTCAGGCTGTTTGCCCCTGGGTCTATTGAATAGTCATGTGGTGAAGTGTGAGTGTTCTAACATAAGGACTGATGTCCTAACCTTGTGAGCCATGCCGCCTTCCAAGCAGGCGTAGCAGGTTGATCTTCAAACAACTTGAGATGTTCTCCAGTCACTTCACGAACCTGATAATTCAGATTGCAGTTCACTCACCTGCATTTCCTAATTGGATTTTGAGGGTGGTAAGGGGGAAAATGTGTTGGGGGAGAGGATAGGGTAGGAAGTATCATTATGCTCCTAAAACGGTATTTATATGAAATACATAAAATGTGTTCCCTTTGTATAAGTAGAAAGTAAACAAGAGAAAATTAAAAAGGAAAAAACTCCAAAAAAATATCAAAAATGAAGAAAAGAAAGGTGGAAATAAAGTGTGTCTGTAATCTTTTCTGTGTTTATTTTTACAGCAGCGCAATTCAACCTTTCCAGAGGTGAGAACACTTTATTCTGAAATTATGTTGTTTCCGTGATGCTCATAACTAGCTCAGGTTTTCATGGTGGTATGATGGGGTGAGCAGGATTGGAGATGGAATGATGGCTTCTGAGTTAACAGAGCCTGGGAGCCGAGTGTGAACTTGCATCTAGCTTGTGCTGCTTAGTTCTCTTCACCTTTCCTCTCTGGCTGCTCAGTGGTAACTAGCCCATTGGAGTGAACCAGTATTGCATTCTCTACTGTTGGTGCTCCCTCTGCTGTTTTCAGCTCTGGCTTTGGGAGCCTTGCGCTCCTAGGAGCAACTTGTTAATGATTGAACTTTACTAGAGTCAGTTGCTATCAACTGATCACTAGGAAGATAGTGTATCCAGAGTGATTCGTGTTTGACCAAAGACAAGCACAGGCTTCCAAAGACAGTCAGTGAATTCATTCAACCTTGAAATAAAATCTAGAAACTCTAAATGTTTATTTTGGAATGAATATTCTTAGGAATATAACTTATTCTCCTGTTAGTTCACAGTCATTTAGTTTAAGCCACGGTATTGCTGAGTAGTAAAAATAAACCACATCAAATTTTTGCTTTACAAACCGATTTCAAAACCCGAAACTCCAGTATTTAAACACTTCATTTAAAAATACTTTATCATGTATTCCATGAAGTTAGCACACATTCATTTTCTTTTTGTAACTACATGCCAAATGCACAATGAAATGACACCCAGAATGCATGCGGTTATGATTTCATGTTAATTTACACTGAGAAGTAAAACAAGCAACTATTTTTCTGATGCTGCATAAAAATAGCTACATGGAATGATATGGAGAAACAAAAAGGAAAATATTTTATTGTGCCATACATTGATATGTTGACTGTAGATTCAGTTACATTTCTGATACTATACTAGTTCTGCGTGAGCAGTTGTTTGGAGGTATGTCCCAATCTGTACATTCTTTACCACTCTCTCAGTGACACCTGGCACCTGCTGTGCTGCGGTCCATCGGTGCCCAAGTCTGAAACACAGTATATGTACTTGTGGCTGTTTGCCTTCTTTATAAACACACAATCGAAGGGAGAATTATCCACAACGTCCCTCTTCCTTATGGTATTTTGCTAAACATTGCACAGCAACAAAGCCACGAGTTTAAGTCTTTTGAAATATATGGAAAACACAATATAAGTAAATACTATAATATGAATTCCTCCAAAACTAAAAAAAAATGTGTGACTTGTTTTTTCACTTTAGAAATTAAGGGCAGTGAATTTCATGAGTGTCGAGTGGAAGCAAACAAGCAATGTTGCTATAGATTTTTTCCCTTTGGGATGAAGACAGATTTGATCACAGAACAGCTGGATATAGGGTCCTGTTACAGTATCAGTTTATTTTTTCCCCAAGAAACCCACTGAGACAGATTTGATGTAAACTTCACTTTAAAATACAAAGACAAAGACTTCAAGTGTACAAGATAAGCATGGAAACTTCCAGAATTACATGCTATTGTACCTTTGATAATTTCTGCCTCCTTTGGAGAATAGCTCATTTTGATAAATAGATGACTCATTTTTGCCTATCATTTGTCAACTTTTTCCTGTGGCAAATTTGAACCTGACACATTTAATGCTTCACATATATCTATGAAATATTTTAGTATCACTATGAAGACTGCAATGGACTTTTTAAAATTTAACAATGAAAAGTATTGCTGAATATAATAGTATGAACGTATGGTTAACATAAACTGTCTTTCAAATTTCTTATTTTAAAAGAATTTTCAGCCTTTTTATACTGATAAGAAAAGAAAAAACTTTTTTAGAAGTAATCAGTTTGTATCAAGCTTGGAAAGAATTTAATAAAAACATGATTATGCATGATTAGACGTCAACTCATTTAAAGGCAAATTTCTTAGACACTGCTTCTTCAGTATAGAGACCTTTGAAAAGAATCAAATCACACACAAAAAAA